TATATATATATATATATATGTCTCCTTTTTGTGTCTCCTTGTTGTGTCTCCTTGTAGATCTTAATACATACAATAGCCAGTTACCTGTACATGGCGCAGCAAGCGAGCAGCTGCGGCTGCTGCACCAGCAGCAGCTGCTGCAGCAGCAACTACTGCAGCAGCAGCAACAACAAGATGGACTTCAACAGTCAACATCAACCAGAAACCTGCAACACCAACAGGAGCAGCAGCAGCAACTGCAGCAGCAGCAGCAACTGCATCAGCAAGTGCAGCAGCAGGAGCAGCAGCAACAACAACGGCCAGAGCAGCAGCAGCAGCAGCAGCCGCAGCAGCAGCAACACGCACCTAAGACAATGACCTTAGCAGACTTTCATCTAATGCAGAAGCAGAAGCAGGAACAAAGACAGCAGCAGCAGCAGCAGCGACTGCAGCAACTGCAGCAGCAGCAGCAGCAGCAGCAGAAACAACCCAGAGTCATGACTCTAGCGGACTTCCACAAGATGCAGCAGCAGAAACAGCATGAAAAAGAACAGCAGCAGCAGCAACAGCAGCAACTGCTGCAGCAGCAGCCTGCAGCACATATGACCTTCCAGGAGTTTCAGCAGCAGCAGCAGCAGCAGCAGCAGCAGCCGCAGCATAGACTCAGAGGTCAACAGAATCAGCAGCTGCAGCAGCAGCTGCAGCAGCAGATTCTACAGCAGCAGCAGCAGCGGCAGCAGCAGAGGCCGCCACTGCCACAGAAGCAGCATCTGCTGCAGCACCAGCAGCAGCAACTCCATCCTTACCAGCCGCACTATGAGCACCCAACTCAGCAGCAACTGCAGCAGCTGCAGCAGCAGCAACACTACCAACAGCTGATTGCGCAGCAACACCAAGAGCAGCAGCAGCAGCAGCCGCAGCAAGCCCACCAGCAGGAACCCCAACAACAGCAGCAGCAGCAGCCGCAGCAAGCCCACCAGCAGGAACCCCAACAACAGCAGCAGCAGCAGCAGCCGCAGCAGCAGCAGCAGCAGCAGCAGCATCCACCGAAGCAGGAGGAAGCTCTTTCTTTCTTACAATTACCAAGTTGGTTACCTAGCTGGCTGCGGCCTCCCAGCAGCAGCAGCAGCAGCAGCAGCAGCAGCACAACAACAACAACAACCACAACAACAACAACAACAACAACAACAAGAGTACCAACAGCAACACCACCAGCAACAATAACAGGAGCAGCAGCAGCAGCAGCAGGAGCAGCAGCAGCAGCAATAAGACCATCTCCTCCTGGTGTACCTACACTGCAGACATTACTTGAGACTGTTGCTGCACAACAGATAACATCAACAACAACAGCAGCAACCCCACCAATAACCACCTTTTTTATTACTACTACTACTACTACTACTACTACTACTACTACTACTACTACTACTACTACTACTACCAGCAGCAGCAGCAGCAGCAGCAGCAGCAGCAGCAATCCAGTCTTGAGGCCACTAGCTACTTTGTTTCCTAACTTGTTTGGTGGAGCGAAGAGAACAGAAGCAGTTGAAGACACAGCAGCAGCAGCAGCAGCAGCAACAGCAACAACAGCAGCAGCAGCAGGAGAAGAAACAGCAGCAGAACCAGCACCAGCAACAGGAGCAGCAGCAGCAGAAGCAAGTGCTGCTGAAGGCAATGCAGCATCTACACCACCTGCAGTAGACACAGAAACAACAGGAACAATAAAAACAGCAGCAACAGCAGCAGCAACAATAACAGCATCAGCAGCAGCAGCAGCAGCAGAGCAGCAGCAGCAGCAGCAAAACACCGTGGCGCATGCAGACGACCACCATTATAGAGATTTGCTGCAGCATAAGCCTGGGCCTATCTCAGGTATTAGAGACCTTATAGACATACCTCTACCAGCAGCAGTAGAGCAGCAGCAGCAGCAGCGGCAGCAGCAGCAGCAGCAGAAGCAGGAGAAGGAAGAACAGCAGAAACAGGAAGAAATGCAGCAGCAGCAACCACAGGAAGAGCAACAACATCAACAACAGGCAGAACAGCAGCAACAACAACAGGAAGAACAGCAACAGCAGCAACAACAGGAAGAACAGCAGCAACAGCTACAGGCAGAGAAGAAGCAACAACACCAGGAACAGCAGCAGCCAGAGCAGCAGCAGCCACAGCAGCAGCAACAAGAGCAACAGCAACAGCAAGCAGAGCAGCAGCAACAGCAACCACAACAGCAGCAACCGCCTGAGCAGCAGCAGCAAGAGCAACAAGAACAACCTGAACAGCAGCAGCAGCAGCAGCAGCAGCAGCAAGAGCAGCAGCAACAGCAGCAGGAAGTATCTGCTGTTTCTTCATGAGGTGTCTTTGTGTCTTTTACATTTTAAATAAACACTCAAGACATATTATATCCACCCTCTAAACCCTAAACCCTAAACCCTAAACCCTAATTAGAGGTCTAAACCCTAAACCCTAAACCCTAAACCTTCATTAGAGGCATTTGTTTCTTTAAAGATTGCCAATTTAGCCATTTCCCTAAACCCTAAACCCTCGTTAAGAGGCCTAAACCCTAAACCCTAAACCCTCGTTAAGAGGTCTAAACCCTAAACCCTAAACACTCATTAGAGGCATTTGTTTCTTTAGGGATGCCTCGTTAATGCATCCTCTAAACCCTAAACCCTAAACCCTCGTTAGAGGCAATTGTTTCTTTAAAGAAAATATATTTATTTCTTATATAAACCCTAAACCCTAAACCCTCAAGAGAGGTAGGGTTATTATTTCTGGTGGTATATTTTATCCATCCTCTAAACCCTAAACCCTCATTAGAGGTCTAAACCCTAAACCCTCATTAGAGGTCTAAACCCTAAACCCTCGTTAGAGGTATTTATTTCTTTAAGGAAATCATTTTTCAAACCCTAAACCCTTATTTAGCAGTTCTCCTGTCTCTAAACCCTAAACCCTTATTCTGCCGTCCTGTCGTCTCTAAACCCTAAACCCTTATTTTGCCGTTCTTTTGTCTATAAACCCTAAACCCGGACCTCTTGTCTCTAAACCCTAAACCCTTATTTTCCCGTCCTTTTGTCTATAGACCCTAAACCCTTATTTAGCGGACCTCGTGTCTATAAACCCTAAATCCTTATTTAGCGGACCTCTTGTCTCTAAACCCTAAACCCTTATTTTCCCGTCCTTTTGTCTATAAACCCTAAACCCTTATTTTGCCGTTCTTTTGTCTATAAACCCTAAACCCTTATTTATCGGCCCCTGTGTATATCTAAACCCTAAACCCTTAAAGGCACTGGTATCTCTTGCGCATTCTGTAAACCCTAAACCCTATTTAAGGGTTTAGGGTTTACGAGTCTCCCCCTTGAGACTCTCCATCACAGTCTTATCTAAACCCTAAACCCTTATTATATTTATTATTTATTTAGCCATTATATAAACCCTAAACCCTTATTTATAGATGCCTGTCTCTCCCTCTTAATGTGCATTGTATAAACCCTAAACCCTAATTATAAACCCTCGTATTATCTCTAGCCAATAATAAACCCCTAAACCCTAAACCACCAACCCCTCTAAACCCTAAACCCTCAAAAAAGACCTCCGTGTAAACCCTAATTTGTGTATAATAATAAATGCAGCTAAACCCTCAATAGGAGACAACTGTAAACCCTAAACCCTAGACCTCTCCTCTCTTAGCTGCATTAATAAGGAAAAGTTTTTTTTTTTCTCTCCCTCCTCCTCCCTGTAAACCCTAAACCCTCAACAGCTACACAACAAAAGGGAGAGAGCAGCAGCAGCAGCAACAACACAAAAGAAAGCAGCAAGAGGCTGTCTGTACCCTTTTTCTCCCTCATTATTGAGGGTTTAGGGTTTGCTGCTGCTGCAGCAAATAAGCAGCAACTGCTGCTGCTGAATTCCTGCATAAAAGGAAATGAATAATAATACATACACTGCAGCACAAGAATACCCCCATATAGAGGTGCCTATACACCTGAATAAATAAGAAGAAAAAAAATAAATAAATGGTGGCTTCTAGAGAAGCCTAAGTGATGGTATATATATAAAGAGGTGCCTATACACCTGAATAAATAAGATGTATAATAAGCAAATCTCCTTATATATATAAATATAAATGTTTAATTGGCCCTTAATATAAATAAATAAATAAATAAAATAAATTTTATTTAATTTATTTAATTTCCTACTTTTTTTTTTATTCGCGATTAATATATATGTATATATATAGATTCATGCTTATATATAAGAGAATAAATATATAAATAAATATATTTATTTAATGGTGTATAAATAGATAAATGCATCCTTTATATATATAGAAGATAATAAAGAGGAAGAAGAAAAGGAAGAAAAAAAGACGGACGGGTCTTGTTCTCCTCCATTATAAGTATTCTTATTCCTCTCCCCTGTTGCTGCTGCTGCTGCTGCTGCTGCTGCTGCATAAATATTGCTGCTGCTGCTGCTGCAGGATCTGCATGATGAACAGGAGTAAATCTTCTGAATAAATAGAAAATTGCTTCTTATTAATAGAATAAATAAAGAAAAAGAAAGAAAAAAACAAATTTATTGAGACATTTTCTTACTCTTAGTCTTCTTAGGGAGGAGGACGGAGTGTACGTTAGGCATAACACCACCACTAGCAATAGTAACACCACCTAAGAATTTACTCAATTCTTCGTCATTTCTTACGGCTAATTGTATATGTCTAGGTATAATTCTTGTTTTTTTATGATCTCTTGCTGCATTCCCTGCAAGTTCAAGTATTTCTGCACATAAATACTCCAATACAGCCGCCATGTATACAGGTGCACCTGCCCCTACTCTTTTTGCATATCTTCCTTTTTTTAGGTATCTACCTATACGTCCTACAGGGAATTGTAGACCAGCTTTAGCGGATTTAGATGTACTTTTTCCGCTTTTTTTTGTTCTTCCTCCTTTACCTTTTGCAGACATTTTCTATTTAATTATTTATATATATATTTATTTATATCTAATTCTTATGATCAATATAAATGGTTATATGTATATCCTTATCCTTATTCTTCCTGTTGCTCCTATTGCTTCTTTGCCTTTTTCTTGTATATATTATATATATATACTCTTTCTTCCTTTTTTTTTTTCTTCCCTTTATTTATCCCTAAAAAAAAAACACAGAGAAAGAAATATGTGCTGATTTATTTTATATCCCCACAGTAATCTGTGCAACAACAAGACGCACCAGCAAAGGGGAGAAGCGACGGTGCATAGGGGCTTGTCGTCTGTCTTGCTTGCTTGCTTGCTTGCTGCTGCTGCTGCTGCTGCTGCTGCTAGTTGCTTTCCTCCTAGTTAGCTAGCTGTATATATATACATTTATTTATTTATTTATTTATTTATTTATTTTTTTAATTAATTTTCTCTTATTTTTATTATATTTATATATACTATAAATAATAATAGACACAAGATACTAGTACAGATTACCCCATCAGTGCGACAATTGGAGGGTGTGCTGCTGCTGCTGCTGCTGCTGCTGCAGCAGCAGCAGCAGCAGCAGCAGCAGCTGCTTCTGGCTAGCATGTGCTACTATCGTCATGAACAGGAGGAGGAGCAGCAGCAGCTGCGCACCCTCTCCCCTCCTTCCTTCTTAATTCCCCTCCTCTCCTTATCAAGGAATACACCTTCAGAATCATAAATTGGGATAAATTTCTGCTGCATAAAAAAAAAAACCCTTAACAACCCCACCAAATAACCACCTTTTTTTTTTTTTTTTTTTTTT